CTCAATGCAAATAGTACGTGGCAACATGTATGTAAATAGCTAGGTCTAGTTACCGGATGAAAACATGTTAGACAAGGAAATTGTAAGGTGGCGTTTGGTTCGTTAGAATGTTTACGAGGGAATTGAAATATGTGAAGGAATTGGAATCTGTCAGGAATTGAAATCCAATTCCATATTCTATTTGGTTGGTAGGAAATGGAATTGGAATCCAATTCCATATTATGTTTGGTTCGCAGACATGTCAGATGAAATTGATTTCAGAAATGTAAAATGACATAATTACCCTTATTTTTTTTTTACTTTTTTTTAGTTTGTTTTACAACTTACATGTAGTTATATATTATAAAAAATTAAAAAATATTAAATTTTCATTTTATTGATTGATTATTCATTTCAATAAATTATAAAAATCATGCTAATAAACATAATAAGTTAAAATCATCGCAATTAAAATATGTTAATAAGTTACCAAAAGATAGAGCAATATTTCGATACATTTCAATCGGAGTATGTTAATTAGTTACAAAAAAATATACCAAAAACTATTTTTATTCAATATATGAATTATAAACCTGACCCGACACGACACAAAATAATAAAAAAAATTATTTTTATTCAATAAAAATATTGACTTAATTGAAAACAATTAATAGAGGGGTATTATTGTAATTATTCCTAAATATATAAGGTAAAATTATATTTTTTTTTCGGGTCGGTCCGGGTTTTTTCACCCTAAACCCGAAACCGACCCGAATATCACACTTAAAAAAACCCGAACCGAACCGAATATCACACTTAAAAAACCCGACCTGACCCCAACAAAATAAAGTTTCACCCGACCAGACCCGAATATATGAATTAGAAATCCGACCCGACCCGAAATAATATAAAAATTATTTTTATTCAATAAAAATAGTGACTTAATTGAAAAAATATATATAGAGGGGTATTATTGTAATTATTCCTAAATATATAAGGTAAAATTATATATATTTTCGGGTTGGGTATTTTTCACCCTAAACCCGAACTCGACCCGACCCGAATATCACACTTAAAAAAATCGACCTGACCCGACCAAAATAAAGTTTCACCCAACCAGACCCGAATATATGAATTAGAAACCCGACCTGAAATAATAATAAAAAATTATTCAATATATGAATAAGTTACCAAAAGATTGATGAGAGTAGTATGGTCAAATTTCAATTTCCTCCAACAAGGGAATTGAATTCTATCTATTTTTGGATGAAATTCACTTTCCCTCATTTGATAGAAAGTTGAAGCCACGAGGGATTCCAATTCCCTCGGAAAACTTGAACCAAACATGGGAAAGTGTGGAAAAGTGGTGGAATTAGATTCCAATTCCCTCCAATTCGAAGGGTTAGTGGAAAAAAATTAAGACAGGGAAATAGCTAGGTTTGGACAATGAATGCCAAAACCAACAACTTCGACAATAAAACAATTCTCATGGATCCATTGCATTAGTACTAATAATATCATGTTTTAAAGTTTTTGTTTAAATTCAAAATAATTATCGGTTAATAGCTTGATACGAAACATAATGATAATAAAGTATGCATACAAATAGAATACATATATCACATCATCTAATGTCGGAAACTTAAGATTTGTCCATTTTAGCGAATATAACACATACATAAATTTTCATATGGGATTAATACGAGATTTTACAATATAATTTTATATAAGATGTACATTATCTTTTAGTATTTGATTTATTATTTTATTAGAAATTAAAATAGAGTTAAAACATTATATTTAGTTAATTATTATTTTATTAGGAACTAGGATAGGATCAAAACATTATTTTTAGTTTATTGTTATTTTATTCATTTGTTGCTTAAGACCTTAGAACTCCTCTAGTATGTAAAGGAGGCTTCATTCACTATTGTAACTCAATTTGTCCTTGATTATTAATACAACGTGAAAACGTTTTTGCAAGTGTTGATTACCTTGTGCCTTCAAAGCTTTCTTCATCACGAAGTTATGTTAATTCAACATGAGGGAGATCTTCACACTCCGAGTTGCCTTTCCATTACGGTTAAGAGGGTCGGTTAGAGTCTGTTATAACAGTTGCATAGTTAATTGCGACTAGGAGAGTGCTTATGACAAATTCCTATCAATACCATCATCATCGGTTCATACCAAGCTCATCTCACATACCCTAGTTCATGTCACATTCATACATATTAGGGAGAATTTTCAACTCAATCTTTTATCATCTTTATTTATCTTTTTATATTTTTATTATTTGCTTGTCATTGTCTTTTTAACTATCATCTTCTTGTTCAATTCTATGACAGAAAGATTTTCGTCAAAAACCCTAATTTTAGCTAAGTTTTTTTTTTGTCAAAAATGTTCTACAATCCGCTATCATCTCCTATCAGTTATGTTAGAAACCACTCATTTCAACTGATTCTAATTGTCTATCCAAGTGTATAAATTAACTTGCCTTAATCGAAGGTATTACAAGTTTTGTTAATAAAATAGATGAGAGTAATGTCTCTCTTTCTCCCATCCCTACTCTCTCTGTTTCTTCTCAACACCCATACTTTCATTTGGTAAACACTCCTAATACATCATATGATGTAACTTTGCATATTCGTGGGATTTTAGCGCACTGTGTTTATTACATCTCGGTTCAAAGCGTTACATTAACGAGTATTATCATACAAAAAGGCCATAAAAAGGATGAAGAAATACGAGTAAGCAACTATTTGGTCAGAGTTATGCATTCAGTTAGATTCACTTTTCATATCTTATTAATTGAATAAATGTATTTCATTATTAAATTTAAAAACCAAATAAAACAATCAAACTTATTTTTAACCGAATTAAACTAACTGAAAATGTACCATTTTTGCTTTCTAGTATTTTTATAATACACCCGAAATTAAAATAACTGAGACAACGTAGTGGCTGAGGTAATATTAAGTATGGAAATCAAAAGCCATGGGACCAGCCTCTGCCTCCAATTATTTATGCATGTGATATTCCAATCCAAACCATTTGGGGCAAAATCCTTTTCATGGTCATTACTAATTATGTCATCAAACAGAGATTGTTTACTAAAAGATGAGAAATAAAAATATCAACCACAGTAAGGTGTCACAAATATTAAATCTAAAACCTAATCAGCAGCCTGATTGGTGAAGCTTTGATCCCCACTCCCCTTGTATTTATTAGCCACTTATGCACTAGGGCAGGGCCTCAGCTACTCTGTGCCGCTCTGTATGGCCAATTTTGATTGGACTCGTGGAGATTAAGGTTAGAAAAATAGTAGATATATGATAATCACTGTTACCCGCTAATCATATAGCTATAGGTTTTAACTTTAGATATGAAAATTTGGATATCTAAAATTTTGGATACCTAAAATAATAATTTATATCTTATCAAAAGATCAGATATTTAAATCTGAATATAAAATTTAATTTGGCAAATGAATTAATTTTAAACTTTATATTTTGTGACTTAATCTAATTTATTTGATATCGTTACTATAGTTTATATATAAAATTATTCACACACAATAAATAATTAAATATCTTAATTTTTATTGGGTTAAAGTTTTAATGGGTTGGTAGATTACTCATTTATCCGGCTAAAGATTACCTAAAATCTAAAAACCCAATTTTTTTGAATTTTCGAATAATCCGAAATTGAAATTTATGATAAATATTTGATTAGAAATTAATAGAAATAGTGTGATAATTAATAATAATATTTTAATATTTTCCGATTTTATTATATTTTATGTTATTTACCCTTAATTTTCTATAAATACAATCAATTTATTATTTTAAACTTGAATAACTATTTTATAACTTTTAGAAATTAAAAGACTAAAATATATCTAGTATAATTGGAGGAGTATTTAATGTAATTTGGCAATAAAAATGATGGCAAAGCTAAGTAATTTTAGCCAATCATGTCGCATCTTAATGAGGAAAATAAATATAGAGCTAAGGTTGTTTCCCTTTAATGATGCATTTGGTTCGCGGAATCTTATATTATCAAGGAGAATGTTTTTTTTTTCGAAATTATATTTCCACGTTTGGTTCAAGAAATCTTACATTATTGAGAATACTCTTTTCCCAATAGTAGCATTATTTTGTTAAAATTGTGAGAATGCCATTACCTCCAAATTCTTACGTAATCTTACGTTCCCACCAGTTTGGACAAGAATACCCTTGGACTAATGAATTCTTTTTATAATAATCCTTCTAAATTCTTATTGTTTTAATACTTTACTCAAAATTATAAAAATAATAATAATATACAAATATTTTGATTTACTAAAATATTAATAATTTTGAGAATTTAAAATATTTTATATTTTTAATATTCAATATTTTACTATTTATAATTTTATGGGATGAAAAATGTAATTATTTAAAATAATAATTTACTACCATAATATTATTTTTATATTATATTATATTTTATATAAATAATATGATACTTATGAACATTATTTAAAAATATAAATTTAATACACTAATTATATTAATTATATATTAAATGTAATTTCTCCTTAAAAGCTATATAATATAACGATTAAAATACTTTTATGAATTTTCATTCAAATATTTATAAATTAATATTAAAGTTTAACTTTAAAAAAATATATCACAAGGATAATTTAGTAAAATATACATCTAAATAATCTTATATTCCTTCAACTAAACACTATAATCTTACATTTTAATAATATTATTCCGAAAAGTAATCTTTAAAACCAAATCCCCTAAATGCCTTTTTCAACCTCATTGGTCGCAGAGAAAGCAAACATAAAGTGCAAAAAGACAAAGAGGATGGATTCGAGAGGATATTGTTAAATATGATTAAAAAAGGAACAACAAAACACCCACAATCGGCTCAATTGGCTTGGCAGCTTCGGATCCTAAAATTACTGAAAAGTCATTCTTTGATAAACTTAAAGGAAAATGGCTGCCTTCTTAGTTCCACTGCTCTCCTCAAAAAGGAGCTGTTAAAGTTCTACTTAGGGTAGTCTTTTTTGGCGGCTGATCTGGAGCTGACAACGACTGCAAAACAAGAATCCAAACCCATCCCACTATAGTATCATCCAACTGGATATCTGCTGAGTTAGAATTGCCTCTACATTTATTAATACATCACCTTCTCTTGCTGCCTTTTAAGCTTAGCATTTTCTTCCTTTAAATGAGCAACTTCAAGCTCCAACTCGGTTGTGTAAGCCTTGGATACTCAAACATCAAAGGAACTCACAAAGCATGTCATCAAAAAGTATAATACATACATCCGAGCATAGTAATGTGTGGGATTAAAAGAGTCAAATAGATATTCACACCTGTTTTCTGGCTCTTGACCGAGCAGCTGACTCTCTGTTCTTCATCATTCGCTTATGCCTCATATCGTTGGATTTTTCATTAATTTCTGGAGCCCTTTTTCTGCCAAAAGTAGGGAAAACTGGCGAAGAATCAAACCCATGAACACTAGTGTTGTGAGAAGAACCAAAAGATGGAGCTGCAGCAAAACCGGTAGGAGCGTTGAGTGTTGGGCTGGACCTCAAAGGGCCACCGATGTCGACGTACCGCAAGTCCGAGCAGGAATTCAAGGTCAAAATTGTGGCGGGAGTGGGTGGTCGGGAGCCTAAAATCGCGGATCCTTGAGAAAGAGAAATGTCATTGGAGACATGTAATGTTCCTAGGGTTGGAGTTTGTTTATTATTGATGGGTCTAGCAAAATGGTCTAGAAGGATGATGTCGGGAAAGTTAGGATTGTTGGGTGTGGTGGAGACAGCAGGGCGGTCTTTAAGTGAGGGGAGAGTAATATCTTTCCACACTTCCTCCATGGATCTTATGGCTAATCGGAGACGGTGATGTGTCGTACGCAGGAAAAAGGAAGATTTAGAAGGTGAAGTAGAGAGACCCCATGAGGTGCTATTAGTGTTGTTTATACCTGGTGAGATTGAAAGAGCGGAGAATGTGGAGATGAGAAAATCAGACTGAAGAGATGACACGTCTACCGGCCTGCCCTATGGTCTGAGCCTTTTAAGGCATACTTGTGTACCGTTTTTCAATCATATATAGTTTTCTTTTAACTAAGCTGTTAATTTTATTAAATAAAGAATAAATTTCTGAAAAATACATAAATAATATATAAAAATATAAGTTAATTATGTTTATCTTAACATTTTTAAAGTATACAAATTAGTTATTAAAAAATTACACAAATAAAGAATTAAAAATGTAATCAAATAATTTGGACAAATAATATATATAAATAAACACAATTATTGACGGTGAAATTTTTTGATATTATCATAACTCAATCGTGACAAATATTTAGTGATCTTGAATGTCTATCAATATTAAATTCAAGAATCTATAATATGGATAAGTCAACATAAAATTTGACCAAGAATAAAATTAATTAAAAGAATATAATTCACATTATAAAAAAGGTAATGAAAAAAAATTAACGGTTGACGATTAGTCAAGACTAATACGTTATTGTAGATGAGAAAATATATTAGAAAAATAGAAGAGTAGCGATGCAAGAAACAAAGAAAGAAATTTTAAATTTTTTACCTAAATAAATATAAATTTTGGCCGGAGAAATCAAGCTTCCTCTACTAGTTCAATCACTACCTGATCCAATAGGCGTCGTTTTTTTTTACTTTCTTATAGCATTCAAAAGAATATTTAAAAATATAAATATTTAGTTTAAATATTTTTTAAGTCCTTGTAATTTTAAAATTGAATAAATTAATATTTTTCTAATATATATATATATATAGTTTAGTCTATGTACATTTTGAAAAGTGAGTAAATAAGAAAATTTTAAAATAATGTTAATGGTTTTTTATTACTAAAATGACGCATGTCCAACTCTGATTAAATAAATTTTTAAATAAAACGAAATCTAAAAATTTATATAAAATTACAATATTTTTAATAGACTGTAACTAATATATATACTAGTATATTAATATTTTCAAACATATATACTGAAATAAATTGTTAGGTATAATACATGAAATTATAATAGAGTGTAACTCATATATATACTAGTATATTTATATATGAGCAACTTGAATAAAAAACAAAACAAATGAGCTTTTTTCCCTTAGAGGGTTAATGTTATATGTAAATAATTTGAGATGGGAAAATAATATATGCTTAGACATCCACGATGTCTTGGATCAACCCCTTTTTCACCTAAAGGGTTAATCCAATCCATTGATTTGATTTAGTTCAAACAATCAAGTTGGAATCCAATAGCTCAAATCTGATTTCCAAAACCAAAAGTTTCAGTTAAATGTAAGGATCTTTTGAAGTGAGATGGATAGAGACTTCTGAAAATTTCAAATTAATATATATTCTATATATTTTTTATATTTTTAATTAATAATATGTTTTATCTTTTTAAAATTGAATTTTTTTTAAAAAAAAATTCATCCCTCAAGCTAATTCCGTCCTTGGTTGAATGAATGTGAAATTTAAGAGACCTGAGAATTAATATTAAAAAAGCCTTTGATTCGACAGATGTATCTTTTCTTTTATGTGTATTATTTTGTCTGTGTGGAAAAGGTCTGACCTAGTACTAAGATATTGTGGAAAAGGTCTGACCTAGTACTAAGGTATCTTTACTATATCTGTACGTGCGAGCGTGACCACAATTTGTTGTCATCACATGCACAACTGATAGTACATATAAATCTTTTTTTTTCAATCTTTAACTCATTTATTTCCTAACTTGAAAATTTTTATTTTCAGAAAAAATTATAATAAAAGACACTGGCGTTGATGCTGATTTTGACATTTGACTGAATTTTCATACTTGGAAGCATCAACTAAATTTATTTTTAGGGTAAAGTATAAAAATGGTCACTGAATTTTTTAAATACTTGCAATTAGTTTTCCTAACTTTTAAAACTTGCAATACAATCACCAAACATTTAGTTCGTTTACAATATGGTCCCGACGTAACGAACGTTTCACTACCGTTAGGGTAAATTATATAAATGTCACTGAACTTTTCAAGAGCTTGCATTTAGGTCCCCCAACTTTTAAAACTTACAACATAATTATTAATTACATTCTAAACCCTAAATTCTAAAATACTTCAGTTACATTCTAAACCTAAAATTCCAAAATACTTCAATTACATACCCAACCACAAATTCATAATTCATTCTCAAAACCTATCATAACAAACTAAACTTAAAGCAGTAACCCTAAACCCTCAAAACATAACCATTTTGAAAAAATTTAACCAACAATAAGTGAACAATAAGTGATTATTTAGGGTTTAGGGTTTAAGGTTATGTTAGACCTAAATACTCAATTCAGTTTAAAATAGTTAACTTGAAATTTTTTCGATTGAGTTTATAAAATTTAAATCAAGTTGAATTGAATTTTTGAGTTTCTGTTTAAATTTAATTATAAATATTATCATATTATAATATTATTTGATTCTAATTCAATTTAGTTTATAAAATAGTTAACTTGAAATTTTTTCAATTGATTTTATAAAATTTAAATCAAGTTGAATTGAATTTTTGAGTTTCTGTTTAAATTTTAATTATAAATATTATCATATTATAATATTATTTGATTCTAATTCAATTTAATTTATAAAATAGTTGCCTCGAAATTTTTTCGATTTGAGTTTATAAAATTTAAATCAAGTCGACTTGAATTGAATTTTCGAGTTTCTGTTTAAATTTAATTATAAATATTTATAATACTATAATATTATTTGATCATATACAATACATATATTTCTTCATATTTTTTCATATGTGGTATACATATATCATATAGAGTCAAGAGACTTGGCTCAAACTTAAAAATTAATCCACTAATTACTAAAAATTTTGAGATATTCGAGTTGTATTTTACAACTCGATTTTAACTTGAAATTTTTTTAAGTTGAGTTTATGAAATTACAACTCAAAGTCAATTTGTATCAAATTTTTTGAATCAATTCAAGTCGAAAAATAATTTTTTCGAACCGAATTGAGTACTGTTCACTTATAGTTGGTTAAATCTAACTTTTAAATCTTAAACCCAACATAATCACTTATTGTTATAGACCCAAAATGAACTAATTGTTGTTGATTATGTTGAGTTAATTGGTGGGGAAATTTAGTATTTAGGGTTATGTTTTGAGAGTTTAGGGTTGTTGCTTTAAGTTCAATTTGTTATGGTAGATTTTGAGAATGGATTATGAATTTGGGGTTGGGCATGTAATTGAAGTATTTTGGAATTTGAGGTTTAGAATGTGTTGAAAACATTTTGATGTTTTGATATAACAAATTAAATGGTTAATCATTTTTAAGATTTTTAATTATTTGAATATGAAAATTATTACTCTAAGTTTTCGAAAGTCTATTTCAATCCTTACTCAAGTGTAAAATTAAGTTTCAATCTTAAAATATTTTTGAAACAGTTTTTACAAAGTATTTCGAGCCATATTAGAGCCAAAAATAAGAATTATTTAGTATGGTATCGATACCCCCTATAGGGTACCGATACCCTTGTGAACACTTTGGTTCCGAGAAATAACAGAATGCTCGAATGGTATCGATACCCCCCATAGGTATCGATACCCCCATGAAATGGTATCGATACCCCTCATATGGTATCGATACCCTAAGACATATAACGGTCGAAATATTTAAATTTTACACTACAGGTACCGATACCCTATGAAGGAGTACCGATACCCCCTACGCTCCAAACTGTTTTATTAATTGTTTTCATACTTAAACGGCTCCATTGACTCCACTAATCATCCCCAACGTTCAGAATCAATTGAGAGAGTATTTAAACAAGTTCTGAAGCCTTTGATCAATAATAAATCATAGAGAAACAAGAAAGAAAGCATCAAATACCAAGTTTGTGCAATTCAAGCCAATTTTCCTTTCAATATTCATTTTTTTTTCAAGAACACCATTTGTGCTCATTTGTAATTATTTTTTAGTGTTCTTTTCTTGTTCTAGAATTGTGCAAACATCTTACCTTGTGAGGATTTCCTTGTAAGTTTGTAAATTTGTGTATTTCTCTTTGAAAAAGAGTGTGCTCAAGAATTGGGGTATAATTCTTGAGGGAATTGTAAGGTTACTCTTTGTCCTTAAAAGAAAGAACAAATTAGTGAATTTGTTGGAAAATCCTTAGTGTGGATAGCTAAGGTAGTGGACGTAGTCTTTGGTTGAGAAAGTCAAACCACTCTAAATCGCTGTGCAATTACTTTTAATTTTCTACAAAAGCTTCCACCAAATTTTTAATTGCCAATTCACCCCCCTCTTGGCCAATTCCATCGATCGATTAACTCAACAATTGGTATCAAAGCCTAACTCATTAAGAAGGTTTAACCACCTTGAGACGATCATCGAAGAAGCTCTACCAATTCCCGATGCAATCGACAAAGAAATGACATTTTCCTCAGGTGCTTATTATCTTGAAGAATATCCTATTATGGATTCACAACCGGTCAACAAGTCACCCTTCTTCAATGGAGCAAATTATGCACATTGGAAGAATAAGATGATGTACTTTATTCAATCCTACAATCTAGGAGCTTGGAACTCAATCATGGACAGTTACTCCTCTCCACCCGGTAAGTACAACGATTGGAGTAGAGAAGAGCAAAAATATTTCCAGCTTAATTCTAAGGCTATACATATTCTATTATGTGCTTTAGGCCCAAATGAATATGAAAGAATCTTATCTTGTTCCAGTGCCAAAGAGATTTGGGATAAGCTCCAAGTCACTCATGAAGGAACCGACGAAGTGAGGAAATCAAAGAAAAGTCTTCTCAACCATAGCTACTAAAACTTCAAGATGAAACCCGATGAAGACATCAAAGCTATGACGGATAGATTTTCTGTGATTGTCAACGGTCTCAAGGGATATGGAGAAGTAATCCCAAATGAAAAGCTTGTGAGGAAGATGATCTACTATCTTCCAAAGGAGTGGCAATCGAAGAAGACGACCA